TGTCTAAGTAGATGATCACACACTTATCTGAGAGTGGGCGGAAGGCTTCGCTCATGGTTATTCTGAAGGTGGTGGGGGCGTCGGTCAGTCCAAAAGGCATCACGTGTCAGAGTTATATGACTTCGCCTGTGTAGGCTGTAGTGGGGTAGCACATATGGGGTACAACACATTTCTAGGGTTTCCTACTTGTACCCACTTTTTGCCTAGTGAATTCATTCCTCGTTTCTTCACATGGTATAGAGCAGGTTCCCTAGTGGGAACGCTTCCTAGGGCCCACCACGATCATTTTTTTTTTTCCTGCCCGGAGCACGCTTCGCTTCTGCCCGAGTCGCGCCCCGTGTGCCCTCCCTCCCGTCGCGTCCCTAGCCCTTAGCGGCCCGTCGCGCCCTCTTACGGCCCCTCGCGGCCCCTTTCACAGCCCCTCGCGGCCCCTTCGCGCCGCCCTTAGCGGCCCCTCTTACGGCCCTTCGCGGCCCCTTACGGCCCCTCGCGCCGCCCTTCGCGGCCCCCTCGCGGCCCCTTCGTGGCCCGTCGCCGCCCTTCACGGTCCCGTTGCCAACCTTTGCGGCCCCTCGCGGCCCCTCCACGGCTCCGTCGCTGCCTCCGCGGCCCTGTCGCCACCCTTCACGGCCTTGTCGCCGCCCTTCGCGGCCTCTCGCGGCCCCGTCTTGGCCCCGTCGCCGCCCTTCACGGCCCCTAACGGCCCCGTCACGGCCCCTTCGCCGCCCTTCACGGCCCCGTAGCCGCCCTTCGCGGCCCATCGTCGCCGCCCCTGCAGCAGCAGCCGCCGCCGCCCCTGCAACAGCAGCCGCCGCCACCCCTGCAGCGGAAGCCGCCACCACCGAAGCCGCCGACAGCAGCGGCCGCCGCCACCTCAGCCGAGGCCGCAGCCGCCGCCACCGCTGACTGCAACCGCCGGTGCGCCTCGACCATGCCGGCGCGCCTCGGCCCGTCCCTACCGGCGCGCCTCGGCCCGCCCCTACCGGCGCGCCTCGGCCCTACTTGCGCGCCTCGGCCCGTCCCTGCCGGTGCGCCTCGGCCCTGCCCCACCACTTGCGACCCTCTGCCCTGGTAAGAGCATCGCCGCGCTTCGCTGCTACTGCTGCCAGTGCTGCTCCTACTGCCACTGCTGCTCCTGCTGCCACTGCTGCTACTGCTGCCACTGCTGTCATGGCTACCCCTAGCGTCCTCGTCTTTGATGCTGAGGGTCGGGCTGTTGACTTTGAGGTCTGGGTCGATGATCTGCAGCTTTTCCTACAGTGCGATAGGAAAGACGGCCTCTCCCTGTTCGATCTCACGTCTGGTGCCTCTTAGCGGCCCCGTTGCCGCCCTTCCAGGCCCCTTGCGGCCCCTTCGCGGCCCCGTCGCCGCCCTTCTTGGCCCCTCACGGCCCCTTCGCGGCCCCGTCGCCGCCCCTTTCGCGGCCCGTTGCCGCCCTTCCAGGCCCCTCGCGGCCCCTTCGTGGCCCCGTCGCCGCCCCTATCGGCCCCGTCGACGCCGCCAGCGGCCCCGTCGTCGACCCTAGCGGCCCCGTCGGCGCTCCTATTGGCCCCGTTGCAGCCGCCAGCGGCCCCGTCGCCGCCGCCAGTGGCCTCGTCGCCCACCCTAGCGGCCCCGTCGCCGCCACTTGCGGCCCCGGCCCCGCCCCGGCCATACCCCGTCGCCAGCCGCGGCGCACCGGGGGCACGTGCACCGCCCCCCCCCCCCCTTTTCCCGCGCCCAGGGAGGCCGCGCGTCGCCCCTCCCCCCCCCCCCCCCCCCGTAACCTCCCTACCCGCCATCCCGCCCTGCCCTGTGTTCGGGTTTGGGGGTGGCGAGTGGGGGGGTGGCGGGTGTGTGGTCTCCCCTGCTCCTCCTCCTCCTCTGTCTCCCACTGCTGCAGCTGCCGCTGAGGGGGGTGGGTGTGTGGGAGTCGACGGAGTGGTGCCAGGGGGTGGGGTGTGAGTGAACCTAGGGGTGCAGTAGGGGGTGTGTGAAATGGGGGTGGGATAGTTTGGGGAGGTTGAAAAGGGTGGCCGCCGAGAAGCCAGTAGCTCCAGTCGCCCGTGAGACCGTTGCGCCAGTCGCCCGTGAGCCCGTTGCGCCAGTCGCCCGTGAGCCCGTTGCTCCAGTCGCCCGTAAGTCCGTTGCTCGTCTGCCGCTACTTTTAGTCGCAGAGCCAGTTACTCCATTAGCCCGTGTGCCACTTGCGCTTGTTGCCAGTGTGCGAGTTGCTCTAGTTCCTGTCAGAATATTATAGCTTATGCTGTTTTGTAGGCTATAGTGGGGTATCCCAAAGGGGGTACAACCTAATTAGGGTTTGCTATATGTACTCACTTCATTCATAGTTCATTCATTCTCGTTCTACTTTTCTCATGGTATCGAGCAGGTTCCTCCGTGGGAACTGTGCCTAGGGCCCACCACATCGATAATTTTTTTCCTGCCCGAAGCGCGCTCGGCCTGAGTCGCGCTCCGGGCCCTCTCTCTTGCTTTGTCGAGCCGCCCTAGAGGCCCCGCCGCCCGTCGAAAAGGCCCCGCCGCCTCACACTCACGCGGCCCCGCCGCCTCCCTCGTCGCGGCCCCGCCGCCTCTCTTGACGCGGCCCCGCCGCCCTTCGTCGCGGACCTGCCGCCCTTCGTCGCGGCCCCGCCGCCCCTCGTTGCGGCCCCGCCGCCTCTCTCGTCGCGGCTCTGCCGCCCTTCGTCGCAGCCCCACCACCCCTGGTCGCGGCCCCGCCGCCTCTCACGTCGCGGCCCCGCCGCCTCTGCAGTCGCGGCCCTGCCGCCCTTTGTCGCGGCCCCGCCACCCTCCTTCGCGGCCCCGCCGCCTCTCTCGACGCGGCCCTGCCGCCCTTCTTAGCGACCTTGCCGCCCTTCGTCGCGGCCTCGCCGCCTCTTCTTCGCGGCCCCGCCGCCTCTTCTTCGCGGCCCCGCCGCCTCTTCTTCGCGGCCCCGCCACCTCTCCTTCGCGGCCCTGCCGCTCTTCATCGCGGCCCCTGCCGCCCTACGTCGCGGCCCTGCCGCCCCTCGTTGCGGCCCCGCAGCCATTCTTCACTGCGGCTCCGCCGCCCTGCACCGCCTGCTCCGCCCAAACCACCTGAGCCGCCCGAGCCGCCCGAGCTACCTGAGCCGCTGAGGAGCCGAGCCGCCCGAGTCCCCTGTGCCGCTGAGGACCCGAGCCGCCCGAGCCACCTGTGCCGCTGAGGACCCGAGCCGCCTGTGCCGCCTGTGCTGCTGAGACCCGAGCCGCCTGAGCCGCCTGAGCCACCCGTGCCGCCCGAGCCGCCTGAGCCGCTCGAGCCGCCTGAGCCGCTGGTACAGCGGAGCTGCTGTTGCTGCTGGGCCGTCCAAGCAGCAGTGTTGCCATGTTGTTGTGCTGCTGAGCTGCCCAAACCGCCCTGTCTGGTGAGAGCAACACCTCTGTCACTGCACTACCCGTGTCCTACAGTCAGTACTGCTAGTCTACTGCTGTCATGGCTACCCCTAGTGTCCTCGCCTTTGACGTTGAGAGTCGGGCCATTGACTTTGAGGTCTGGGTAGATGACATGCAGCTGTTCTTACAGTGCGATAAGGCAGACGGCCTCTCTCTCTTTGACCTCACCTCTGGCGCTTCCCCTGCCCCTGCTGCTGATGCTGACGCCACTGTTTGCTCCCAGTGGGCCACCCGCGACGCTGCTGCACGTCTTGCTGTGCGTCGCCACCTCCCTACCTCTGAGCGTGCGCACTTTAGTCAGTACAAGAGTGCTCAGACCTTGTACGACGCTGTAGTCGCGCGCTACTCCTCGCTGCACTGAGCCGTCTCATGCTACCGTACCTCTTTCCTGACCTTGCTGCCTTTCCCACAGTAGCTGACCTTATTACGCACCTCCGCACAAGTGATACTCGCTACCGCGCTGCACTTCCTGCTGACTTCTGCGCAAAGAACCCCCCCCCCACGTACATCACTCTCTACTACATGGTCACTCGCCTACCTGACTCCCTTCGTGTAGTCAAGGATCTTTTCCTCTCGGTCTGTCCCACCACTTTCACTGTCGACCTCCTCGAGAAGGCGCCCTCCTAGCGATAGAGAAGAGCATAGTCGCTGTAGGAGCCTCTCGAGGTGACCCGCGCACCCCCATCTTTGAGGGGTGTTCCCCCTCCCCCCTTCTGCCCTCTGTTGCCTCTGCTGCTGCGGCCGACCTCCTTGGTCTTGAGTCGGTCGGTGCGGCGTCTACCCCTAGCGGGAGACGCCGCCCTGGCAAGGGCAAGGGGGGCAAGGGCGCTGGAGGAGCGAGCGGGGGCGGAAGAGGAGGAGGTGGCGGCGGTGGGGGGAGTGGGGGTGGCGGTGGGAGTGAAGGTGGGGGTGGAGGGGTCGGTGGCGTCTGCGTAGTAGCCCCCACTTGCACCCGCCACTGAGGGGTGCGCCGCCAGGAAGCATGAGGTGGCCGCACCCTGAGAGAAGGGAGGAGAGGAGAGTGGGGAGAGGAGGATACGGGGCGGTCAGGTGGAGGTGCAAGGAGTGTGTAAGGGGGGGGGGGGGAGCGAGGCACAGGGTGTGTGCCTCGAGGCGGCACGATGCGAGAGTGGCTTGAGAGAGAGAGTGTGTGAGAGTAAGAATGGGCAGGGGGGAAAGGTTGAAAGATGAGGGAGCATGAGAAGTAGCCCCACTGGGCTTTGTTGCAGGGAGTGTGCACATGAGCATGGGGATAAGTTGGAACAACCATGCATGGGAAAGTACGCACACCCCCAACCATGCATGGGTGCGTGCGGGCACCCAACCATGCAGCAGTAACAGAGGGCGGTGGTGAGGTCAGGTGAGGTCGGGTGAGGTGAGGTGAGGGGAGGTGAGGTGAGGTGAGGTGAGTAGGGGTGAGGAGGGGTGAGGAAGGGTGAGGAGGGGTGAGGGGTTGGTGAAAGCTGAGGCAGCTCTTCTTCAATCACGTCAAATCGCTCTTGCAGCAGGGTTGGTTGGAGGCATATCAGTAGGGTGCAGAGTAATATAGAGTGTGTGCAGTGCGGTGAAGAGCTACTTTAACCACTCCCCTAAGGTAATGTACGGCAAAGTGCAGTGAGGCGAGGTATAAAGTAGGTGGAGGTGGAGGGTACCTGAGGAATGGTCTTCATGAACCACTGGAACACCAGGCTGTACGCTCCCCCTGGTGGTTGGTTGCACAACATGGCAGGGCAGCAGTGGACAGGCACAAGCACAGGACGAGTGGTAGTATGACAACAATGGGTGCTCAGCCAAGCCGTTGCAGAAGCAAGCTCCAAGCAGCGAGCAGGAGTTACTGCAAAAGAACAAAGCATGCTTGTGCCAAACAGCTTCCATCAAACCATCAGCCCCTCAGACGCCCCTCCTTCCCCCTCTTTCTACACCACCTAATTACCTGGCCACCCCATCAACTATGTCCCAGTGTGTGCCTTGTAGAAGACACACCGGACAGTCGCTTACGGCACTCTGTAGCACGAAAGGCTTTGCCTTGTACCTCAAAGCGATATTGGCTCCGCGGAACAAGTTCGACACACGTCGCACTTGCTTTCGCGGACTGGTCTAACAGACCATTATCAACCCCTGCCATTTTCCATGGCGGCCCTGTATAAATGGCTCCGACCCAATCGAACCAGGCCTCAGACCAGTTGTGTTACATGGTAACTATCTAGTGCACTTGCATTGTCCAAGATCTGGCTCACAGCTGGTTCACCCTGGTCCACAGACTACACTGCTTGGACCTCAGCAAACCAACGGTTCTGCAGACCCCATGTGGCATGCCCTAACGCACTTTGCCCTTCCCACCCACCCGCCTACCCACCCACCCGCACAGCACACCCGCCCACCGCCCCACGTACGTCCGAGGGTGTGCCAGATGGTCCCTGGTGGCACAATGTGACGTGAGAGGTTGGTGTCAATCACCCCCGGGTGCAGCGCGTTCACTGTCACTCCTGCACCCTCCTCCTGCTCGCATGAATCAAGGGAGAGAAGGGAAGGGGAGAGAGGGGAGGAGGGAGGGTGATGGAGGGTGTTGGCGAGGGAAGCAGGGGGTTTTTCCATTGTTGAAGGATCAATCACCCATGGGTACAGAGCATTTACAGTCATACCTGCACTGAGGTTTTCAAAACAAACAAAAAAAAATCATAAGGGAGAGTCGGGAAGAAGAGGAAGAGATTTTTGGTGAGGAATTTGAGACGTAGCATGAAATGTGCTTTTTGGGCGTGTTTCCCCTGCCTGCTTCTTCCCTTCCCTCCCACTAATGCACACTCTCACGCACACATCCGCACACATACATACCCACCCACCCACCCAACTACACTCACACACACACCCACTCACTCACACAACACCCACATACCCACTCCTTCATACACACCCTCCTCTCCCACAGCCATGCACCTTGAGCCGCCGTGCGAGCTCCCGTGCGTGCAGGATATTAGCGAGCTTGGACTGCCCGTACGCCCTCACCGAGTCGTACCCCTCCTTGGCGTTGATGGCGTCAAAGCGGATGCCGCCCGGGTACGGGAACTGGTGCGCGGCGGAGGACACGATCACGATGCGCGCCTCTGCGCCCTCCTGCTTGGCAGTTTCCTTGAGCTTCGGCAGCAGCAGGTTGGTCAACAGGAAGTGGCCTAAAGGGGGTACGACGTGCGATGCAATTGGGTGGGGGGTGTGTGCAGGGGAAGGGGGGAAGAGGGTGAAAGGGAAGAGAGGGGGAGGGGGGGCGGAGGGACGGAAGAAAGGGGGAGAGGGAGGCAGTGGAGGTGTGGTGCGATCAGCCTGAGAGCTCCATGAGCTTAGGAATGCAACAAATGCACTCGAGCCTAGAAAGAGAACAGCCAACTGGTAGACTCTGCTTCACTCCCACCACTCCCATTCTTCCCTCACACTCCACCCCGCCACCCATGCTGTGCGCATGTAATCTGCTTGCTTGCCTCACCCACTTCATTGCTGCTCCCCTGCACTCACCCTCATGGTCGCTACTCCCCTACACTCACCCACGTGGTTGCCTCCCTGCACTCACCCACGTGATTGGTGCCGAACTGGTTCTCATGGCCGGCCGCAGTGAGCATGAACGGGCATATCATCACGCTCGCATTGTTGCTGCCCGGGGTGGGGTGGGATGGGGAGGGGTTGGTTGAGATTGGGTGGGCCGTGGTGGGATTGGTTGGGCAGGCGAGTGGGGGGTTGTTGCATAGGAAGTGACGAAGGGAAGGGGACGGTGGGGTGGGTTCGGGGAGAGGGGGAAGGTCTGAACGAGAGGAATAAATAAGGCGAAACAGTAGAATGACTAGCATAATGGGTAGGTGGGCAGGGAAGCAGGGAGGGAGGGAGCGAGGGAAGGAGGGAAGTGTGTTGTGATGGGGCACGGGGCAGCATGGCAGTGGGGCAGCATGGCAGTGGAGTAGCATGGCAGTGGAGCAGCATGACAGTGGGGCAGCATGGCAGTGGGGCAGCATGGCAGTGGGGCAGCATGGCAGTGGAGCAGCATGGCAGTGGAGCAGCATGGCAGTGGAGCAGCATGGCAGTGGGGCAGCATGGCAGTGGAGCAGCATGGCAGTGGAGCAGCATGGCAGTGGAGCAGCATGGCAGTGGAGCAGCATGACAGTGGAGCAGCATGGCAGTGGAGCAGCATGGCAATGGGGCAGCATGGCAGTGGAGCAGCATGGCAGTGGAGCAGCATGGCAGTGGAGCAGCATGGCAGTGGGGCGGCATGGCAGTGGGGCAGCATGGCAGTGGGGCAGCACTAACAGCAGATCGTTTAAGCTCAACTAAACCTGTTATCATAGAAGCCGAATGCCCCTCCATTTACCCCATTCCCCCTATTCCTCCCATTCCCCTCCTCCGGCCCCTCCACCCCGTTACACCCCTGCCCTCCCCCTTCTTCACCCACTCACCCCCTCCCCCTCCCTCGCCCCCTCCCCTCCCCCCCGCACCCCTTCCATCTCCGCGCGTACATGAGGAGGTGCAGCGGGCGGTTAAGGCCCAAGTAATCCGCGGCGAACGCGCGCACCGACTTGAGCGACGCCAAATCCAGCGGCATCACGCTCACGCGCTCGCGCACCGCCGCCGGAACCCCCGCCGCCGCTGCGCTCTGCCCCTCGATGTCCTTGATGATGGCGGCTTTGGCGGCCTCCCCCGCCTCCGTGTTCCGCACCGCGGGCACCACGGACGCGCCTCGCAGCGCCAGCACCCGCGCCGCCTCCGTGCCGATGCCGCTGCTGCCGCCTGGGGGGAGGAAATTCGCGCCACAAGGGTGTCGGGAGAGGGGGAGGAAGAAGAAATTAGCGCGGCGGAAAGAGAGAGGGGCGACATGCGCGCGTGGGGAGAACATTGGCACGAGGACGAGGTTCGCGCGGGAAGGGGAATTCGCGAGTGCTGAATGAATTTGGGCGTGGGGGAGGAGGAAGGCTGGGGTGGAGGACTGAAATTTTTTTCAGACATGGCACAAACAGCTTTTGAGGCGTCTTACACGCTTTTTCACAATGGCGCGGGGAAGAGACTAGGGTGGAAAAGAGAGGGGAGTGGAAGTACGGGCAAGGACGAGAGGACGAGAAGACGGGCGGACGAGCGGATGAGAAAGATCAGTTTGATTGAGAAAGGCGAAGACGAGAAAGAAATGCAAGGGTGGTAAAGACTCGTTGGGTGGAAGGTGCTAAGAGAGTGGGAGAGAATAGCTCATACTGCCGCTGCACTTGCTGCTCCCGTGCCTCACATCAGCGGTATCAAAGCATCCCTACTCCTCACCACCTCCCCCTCCTCCCCCCCCGTCCCCTCACATGTCCTCCCTTCTACCGTGCCCTTTTATCCTTTCCCGTACCACACAAACACGCAGGATATTTCTGATCCACATTCTCTCCCCTCACCCCCGTAATTCCCCCCTCTTTTCCCCGTTTCTCCCCGTTCCTCTCCAATTTGTCTCCCGTTTCCTCCCGTTTACTGCATACGGCGAAACCGAATCATCGATGCTCTTACCCATTACGATTGCCACTTTGCCGCTCAAATCGACGCCCGCCGTCACATCTTCCGCCGTCGACCGGTAGCCGAACTTTGACGGATCAGCAACCGCTGACGTTGACGGTGACGGACCGGAGGCGGAAGCCATAACAGCGTGGGCGCGCGGAGCCGAGAGGATCAGAGTGGGAGCGGGGGGTATGGCGAGTAGAGCCCAGCGGTAGTGTCGCATGGAAAGAGATTGCGACGAGAGCGACGCTAGCGACGACAGTGGCGACGGAGAGAGAGGACCCACGAGAGACGCGCTGCCGGGACCAGGAACCATACTCTGAACTGGACGGAGCACGCTCACACGACACGACTCTGCTTGGTGCTGGGGTAGTGGCGCGGCGACGAGAAATTTTGTTATGCGATATCGCCAATTCGCTGCAGAGCCGGAGTGGTAACAAATTTATAAATTGGGTGTGGAAATGGCATTCACTGCGGAAATACAAGTGTCATCTCGTCTGCCCCCTTCCTAGTCAGTCAGACTCACCACTGAAGTGTGGGTCCTGAGAGCTCGCACACGTACATGTGGTGCGTAGCGATTGCTCGAGTTAGATCCGGATTCTTGATCTGTTAGCTACATGCATCCCAGCGTGGCAGAACATCGACGTGTGCCAAAACATCGACGTGTGCCAATGACGCGACAAATGACGTGTGTCAAAATGCTGCGACCACGTGGTCAACCCTAAGAGAAAGGCACAGTGTAAGCACAGAAGCGATTAAGAGCCAGAGAGGAGAAGCTACCACTATGGGCATGAAATACCCAACACAAATTATTGCGTAGTATGCACCTTACAAAGCCTATACTAGTAATGTGTTGGGCTGAGAAAAGCCCTTAGGATCTTTGCAGGGGTGAACTCTGGGTAGTATCAATGTAATAGCGGAAGCGTTTTGAAGAGATTGTGAACCACCTTGCGCTAGTATGTGAGGGCAAAGTAAGTTGATAAAAACAAAGAGATACAAGATTATATAGGAGTACAAGGAATATGAAAGGATACGGTTATACCGTATGGCCCCGGATATAGGCGCATATGCGCTTATAATAAAATCGTTTTTTTGAGGGGGGGCGCTTGTAATTGAGTAACGGCCATAACCGCCGGCGCTTATATAATGACAAATACGAAATTATAATTTTAGAGCACCAAATTGTTCATTTTCTTCTTGCCATTTCAACCGAGTCGAAATGTTTTAGCGTCACAATGCAGAATCTCGCACAAGCGATATTCTGGGTTCACACACAGGCAAAGCCACGTCATTCCAGCACATCCTCACTGGACGCGCAGCCAGTCAGGTCTTCACGAGTCGAACGAAGCGAAATTGAAATCTAACTCGCTGCAAAAATGGATTTCGTTACAGTTTTAGGCAAGAATTAAAATTCAAATCGCATATGCGCTTATAATAAGTAAAGGTTTTCTAGGGGGGGCGCTTATAATCGAATTCCGGCCATAGGCGCCATGCTCCAAATAGAAGCGCCGGCGCCACTCTAGCGACGACAGTGGCGACGGAGAGAGAGGACCCACGAGAGACGCGCTGCCAGGACCAAGAACCATACTCTGAACTGAACGGAGCACGCTCACACGACACGACTCTGCTTGGTGCTGGGGTAATGGCGCGGCGACGAGAAATTTGTTATGCGATATCGCCAATTCGCTGCAGAGCCGGAGTGGTAACAAATTTGTAAACTAGGTGCAAAAATGGCATTCACTGCGGAAATACAAGTGTCATCTCGTCTGCCCCCTTCCTGGGTCAGTCAGACTCACCACTGAAAAAGTGTGGGTCCTGAGAGCTCGCACACGTACATGTGGTGCGTAGCGATTGCTCGAGTTAGATCCGGATTCTTGATCTGTTAGCTACATGCATCCCAGCCTGGCAGAACATCGACGTGTGCCAATGACGCGACAAATGACGTGCGTCGAAATGCTGCGACCACGTGGTCAACCCTAAGAGACGGGCACAGTGTAAGCACAGAAGCGATTAAGAGCCAGAGTGTAGGAGCTACCACTATGGGCATGAAATACCCAACACAAATTATTACATAGTACCGTATAGTTCCAGCTAGAAGACCCGGGAGACTCCCTACAAATGCTTAAAAATATGCTTGGGTGGACATTATGGCGGTTGCAAATTTTTAAGACCCGGGGTACACTTATTTGTCATATATCAATTTGTCGTTTATGGTGTATAGTTCAATTTGGGGCACGGGGGGTCTTATATTCAGAGTTCTCCTCTGGCCTTCTGCAAGCCTACTATCGTGCACGAGGCATCCGTCAGACCTTCACGCTTCCGGACTCTCCGCAGCAAAATGGGATTTCTGAGCGCCGCATTGGCATGGTCATGGACGTCGCTCGTACGTCTATGATGCATGCGGCTGCCCCCCATTTTCTGTGGCCGTTTGCGGTCAGGTACGCGGCGCATCAGATCAACCTTCACCCCAGGGTCTCCAGAACCGAGACCTCCCCTGCCTTGCTGTGGACGGGGAAAGTTGGCGATGCATCGGCGTTCCGGGTCTGGGGATCTCGGGCGTTTGTCCGCGACTTGTCTGCGGACAAGCTGTCCCCTCGTGCTGCTCCTTGCGTCTTCCTGGGGTTCCCCCCTGACGCGCCTGGGTGGCAGTTCTACCACCCCACCTCTCGCCGTGTTCTGTCCTCCCAGGACGTCACATTTGACGAGTCGGTCCCCTACTACCGCCTATTCCCCTACCGCACTCCGTCCCTCCCCCCGCCCCCGCTCTTCCTTGTACCTGGTCCCCCCCCGGTAGACCCCCTCCCCCCTCAGGGTCATGCCCCTTCAGGTGTGTCTCAGGTAGACGCAGTCGAGCGTGTCGAGGTCACTGGTGACTCTGGTGCTGCTGAGGGTGCTGAGCCTGGGGGTGCTGAGACTCGTGGTGCTGAGCCTGGGGGTGCTGGGCCTTGGGTTGCTGAGCCTGGGGGTGCTGAGCCTGGGGGTGCTGAGCATGGGGGTGCTGAGCCTTGGGGTGCTGGGCCTGGGGGTGCTGAGCCTGGGGGTGCTACGCCTGGGGGTACTTTGCCTGGGGGTGCTGAGCCTGGGGGTGCTTCGCTTGGAGGTTCTCCGGGTACTTCGTCTCTGCGGGAGCCACTCTCTCCACAGGAGCTGCGCGAGTGGTTTGCCCTGCGCTGGAGCCGTGCTGCTGGTGCTGGAGGTTCTTCCGCTACTGAGGGTGCTGCTGTCGCGGGTCCCGGAGGTGCTCATACTGTTAGTACTGGAGCTGCTGGGCCTGCGGGTTCGACTAAAGCTGGTGCTGTTGAGCGTGTTGGCGTTGATAGTACTGTTGGCGGTCCTGCAGGGGGTAGTCCTGGTGCTGCTGGAGGTTCTGGAGCTGCTGGAGGTGCTGCTGGAGCGGGTGCTCCTGCTGGGGGTACTGGTGCTGTCCCTGCTGTGTCTCGCGTTTCCACGCGGCCTCGACCGTACTTTGTTCAACTCCTGCAGCAGGTTCTTGGTCTTTGCCTTCTACTAGTCCTCCTCTCTTAGAGTGTCCACAACCTGTCCCGTCGCAGTTACAGTTACAGCCGGCCTCCCCACTGCCTGCTCCTTCTCCCTACACTGGTCCTACTGGAGGTCTTGCTGAGCGTCGTGAGCCTGCGTCTTGCCCTGCGTCGCGTGTCCGTGCTGCTTGCACTAGTGGTGGTGGTTCGCGTCAGCGTCCTCCTCCTGTCCCTTGCACGCACCGGATGTCTCTACGTCCGTCCACTGCTCCTTTGCGTGCCCCTTTGCCTTCTACTCCTGAGTCCTCTCTTCCTACTCTTGCCGACCCGGAGTCGGACTCTCTTCGTGCTGCCAGTCCTACTGTCACGCGTCTCCTTGCTACTGTAGTCACAAACCCTTCCTTCGAGTCTACTTCTTCGTCTGCCCTTGTAGCGGAGCTCGTCGACTTTGCTGCTTGCTATCGCCTAGACTACGCTGCTAGTCTTGTCGCTCACTCTGAGCCTGTCTGTCCTCCGTCCGTCGGGGGTGAGTGTTCCCTTGGCACGGACGTCCTTGTGGACAGGTAGGAGGAGTTCCAGTGTCTAACAGCTGCTTCACCTCATCTCGTGTCTGTACTGCTTACCCCTGAGGGAGACCCGGATGCACTTGACATCCCGACTCCGCGCTCTTACGCGGAGGCGATAGAGGGTCCCTACTCCTCTTAGTGGAAGGCAGCTATAGATGCAGAGATGGCTTTCTGGAAGTCCACAGGCACCTACGTTGACGCTGTCCCCCCTCCTGGGGCGAACATCGTCAGTGGCATGTGGATCTTCAGGGTGAAGCGGCCGCCGGGTTATCCGCCTGTCTTCAAGGCGCGTTACGTGGCTCGTGGCTTCAGTCAGCGGCAGGGAGTTGACTACTTTCAGACCTTCTCCCCCACCCCGAAGATGACCACTCTTCGGGTACTGTTGCACGTTGCTGCTCACCGTGTTTACGAGCTGCACTCTCTCGACTTCAACACAGCTTTCTTCCAGGGCAGCCTCCACGAGGAGATCTGGCTGCGCCACCCACCTGGCTTCAGTGGGTCTTTCCGTCCTGGTACCCAGTGGAGTCTCCGGCGTCCAGTCTACGGTCTTTGCCAGGCGCCACGTGAGTGGCACGACACACTGAGGACTACGCTTGCGGCTCTTGGGTTTGCTCCTTCTACTGCCGACCCGTCGCTGTTTCTGCGCACCGACACCTCTCTGCCGCCGTTCTACATCCTCGTGTACGTCAACGACTTGGTCTTTGCCACAGCTGACACTGCTGGACTCGCCTACGTGAAGTCCGAGCTGCAGAAGAGACACACGTGCAGTGACCTGGGTGAGCTGCGCAGCTACCTTGGCTTGCAGATCACCCGGGACAGAGCACGCCGCACCATTACCCTGACTTAGTCACACATGGTGCAGCAGGTCCTTCAGCGCTTCGGCTTCACGTACTCCTCGCCTCAGGCCACTCCTCTGCCCACTCGCCACTCGCTCTCAGCTCTGCCTTCGGATGAGTCCGTAGAGTCGAGTGGCCCGTACCCAGAGCTTGTTGGCTGCCTCATGTACCTGATGACCTGCACACGACCTGACCTTGCATACCCTCTTAGCATTCTTGCACGCTATGTTGCTCCTGGGAGACACCGACCAGAGCACATGGCTGCAGCGAAGAGGGTGTTGCGCTACTTGTGCAGTACGTCGGGCATGGGGCTAGTGCTTGGAGGGCGGAGTCCAGTGGTCC